TACTGTTATTGTAAAAATTCTCTGGTGCCTTGCGATTCTCGAGAGCAGCAAAATAAGTGGATCGTGGAAAAAGAAAGTTTCGCCACGGCCTATTGTCCTATTAATGAAATGAAATCATTCGCGAAAATAGATAGATTAAGCGAATTAATTTAATGAGCCAAATTAATGCCTCCAGCGTGTATGGGATATCCACCATATCTCAAGTAAATATAAAGAATTTGCCAGAAGCTGCACAATTATTTAACAAGATCGGTAACAACGTCACTCACACACCTCGGGAACTACGTCGCGATATAACTTTTGGAATTTGCTATTATAGGAATATGGCTATATGGACAGGTTACGTCGTAAAGTTGCATAAATTTATAGAAAAACGTACTTCGCACTTGATCTATGAAGAATAAAATAAATTAATGCGAACAATGTTTACCTATGGGTCGGTCTCTCTTCGATAACCAAGAGAATAATAAATACGCTCTAGATCCTTTTTGAGGAGAAATTGAAAAGAAAGCGCAAAATTAATACATTTTCATCCGTTGATAGTTAAAAAGTTCTACCCAACATCCATAGGAGCTAACTACGTTCAACATTTACATACAAATGTGCACAACAGTAAAGCTTTGGCGATAACTTTTTTTTATTATTAAGTGGTACTCATACGTACGCCTGTACTTCATGGTTTTATTGTGTAATAAATTTTGAATAACTGTAATAGCATACGCATGCATAAGAACTAATGCTTCCTCGTAAACAATGGTTATAAATAATGGTTTGCACTTTTCACTCGCTTCTCCGCTCCTTTACGAACTTCTTTCTTTCAGAAAATTTCTTATAGCAAAATTATTTCATATAATTGCTATAAAAGTATTTTCTAAAGATTTCATAAATATTTAATGGTAATAAAATATTTGAGAATATTTTTTCAACAAATTAGAATTTTACGAGAAATTTACCTCAACGTATAAGTTATTAATAAAACAAAATTGTATTATTGTTATTAATTTAAAATTGATAAGTTTCAAAATGTGCTGCAAAACGATACGGGATTGTGCAGTCATTATATAAGAAAATCTGCTAATGGGTGGTAAAGCGAAAGCTACGGCAAAAATTCATTAAATAAATGACTTCAACAATAGAGCCATATATATTTAATTAAAAGCGAAATATTCTTTAGAATAAAAATAAAACGAAGCGTATAGCGTACTATGATAGCTTTATTGGTTTTGAAGCGAATTTTGGATACCAATCACTTCAAAAAAATTTTTATTTCTTGACAGCAGCTTAAAGTCTGGTTGGGTTTTCATTTTCAGAAGATTTAATACTACCTTATTAGTATCAAAACAATTAGCCCAGGTCTACCATTGATATCAGTTCTAGCACGGAAGATATTGATCAAGACATTTCAAGAGAAAATCAGCTCAATATGTCACTAACATGTCTGCCTCATATTTTTGAGACCAACATCTGGAATGTTACAATTAGTACGCCTTCATGATGACGTTCACAAAACTTGCGCAAAGTACGCTACATGTTGTCATAACAATGTCTTTCTTATATCATAACGCATTTATACACACACATACTCATACATACGTAAGCATAAAATTCATAGAATTGCAATAAGGTTTCACACAAAGCCTTTCACGTATATAAGAACATTTTAAAGTTTTTCCATAACACACTATAGAAAGGAAAATATTTTATTTATTGCTTGAGCCACCTGTGCGGATAATGTAATTAATGTTTTCCTTTTCAAACTTTTTATTGCGACAGTATGAGTTTCTGTTCATATGGGGTCTCTGTGTTTAAGTGTTAGATTACACTGGTGTTATTACTTTGTTTGATGTTATTGTTGTGTTCACATGTTCTCAAGTATTCATAACCATTGACAATTAACAATTGAGCACGCAACTTAAATTAATAATTAGTTTGATTAAAGTTGTCTGAGCTATCATTAAAAAGTTGTTATAAGAAATTAAAATGAATTGTTTCAAGAAAAATTATTGCATGTATGATTCACAAGAACGTGATTAATTAACTAATACACGAGCTATAGCAAAGAAATTTTCCTAATGGCGAAGATGTTTGTGCATTCTAAACTACGAACAACAAGGACATATATTGAGATTAGACGAATACAAACCATTTAAAAACTTTCTCATGAAAACTTTTTTTAACATTACTTGTATTACATACGTGGTTTGGTTCTAAAATGTTCCTTCCAACTATCTGCGTCTCTGTATCTTCATCTTTCCTAGCGCTCTTAGCCAATTTTAATTGCCAAATACGCTTTTCAGATGCATAAGGATTTGTAACCTGGATGCAGATATAGTTATTAGGACCAGGTCATCTTCCTATCCCTCAGGGGCTAGATTATCCTCTGTTTTCATGTAGGATTTGAATGCTTTACTTGCAAACCGATTAACCCTAATTTCTATTTCAAGGCACTCGACTGACTCCTTTATACTGTACACCTTGAAAATAAATTTCTGCAATAATAAGCACTTAGAGCACTAAATGATAAAATTTTTGTAGACATTCAATAATAGATAATTTATTCCGAAAGCCAATTCTATCGCATTAAAAAACATAATTAAGAAACTTTTGTACACAGTAATTAAAAGTCAAATACATGCGAAGCTAGTTTTTTCTTGCTATTGACACTACGGAGTAAAATAATGTAAATAAACCATTTTATCACTTTTCGCTACGTTTCGTTTTATGAAGACAACTGACTCGGCAAGTGAGGCATTCATATATAGAGGTTTTCCATTACTCATGTTACAAGCTACGATACCTATAAATAAACCTTATTATCAAATGTATGCAAAATTATTGCAATTTTCTGTTGCGAGTTTTTGCCATTATATCGCACATATCCAGGTAAAGCGATCAGAGTTTCACAGCAAGGAAGCAGGATGCACGGAATTTATTTTCTTTTACAGGCGAACGTGTGATTCTTATAGAAAAAATCTTTTTTTTTACCTATTTCTTCTAGTAGTGTAAAGGAGGACAAGTCTTCTCAAGAACAAGCGTATTTACGAGAAAAGAATAAATGAAAACTGACGTATACCTTAGAGAAGTTTGTGCTGAAATTTGAAATTAATTTAACATCTTAGCTTTTTCTGTCTGGCGATGTGCTGATAGGAACCTTTTCGGTACATAAGCATAAAGCGCTGCAGCTGGACAGCTGAGTGAAGGATCATTTATGAACTCAAGGTGAAGAAGTCTATATTACTGAGCAACTGTACCGCCGAACCAATCGAAGATAGTCATAACTAAGTCCTCTTAGACCCATTGGTCATGAAAGACGTACACTTTACATATTGTAGAGTGATTAAAGACAGGCTTATTCACGTTACAAACACAATGGCAATATTAGCAGATTTTAGTATATTCATACCTGGCTGCTGAATGTAAAGGTCTACATATATATAAATTTGTTTTTTAGTTGAATTCTGTTATTACTTAAGCAACAATTGCCAAGAATTTCAATGAGAAAATAAGAAAAGCTATATTATTTTCTACTTGAATACTTTAGTATATATATATATTGTAGTATATGTATATGTTGTATGTGTTCATGTATTTAAATAAAAAACAAAATCTACATTTAAGCTGGATCTATATATAGGTAAACGCAGTAATGTACGTTGTTGATGTACTTCTTCTGTAACTGTATACGTATATTGTTGATTGCATAAAATAAATCTAACACTAAAGCTGTACAACAAGTACAATAAAGCAAAAAGTTATCTACGTACACAAATACACACACGCAGACATATTTTCCTTCCTCCTTTGTATTACATTTTAGGTCAAATGTTAAAAACAATTGAAGACTTACTGCAGCACATAAAATAATAGTAAAATTGTTATGCAATATAAGTGTGTACATGCACACAAATATATACACAAAACACAAACATACGTGCATATTATATATAAAAAGGTACAAATATACAAATTGAATAAAAATATATGTGCGCCTGTATATGTATACAGAATACTTGTAGTTTTTAAACAGAACGAACTACATGTGCCTGTCTATTTTATATGTGCATGGAAAATTGAGTAGTGAGTGTGCCTGCGTTTGCTTGTTTGTTGTAGAAATTGAGTTAAATGTCCGTATATATGAAGGTATATAAATTTGTTTCTATTTCTGTGTGTGTAAGAGCGTTTATGCATATGCGCTTGTTTGAAAGTGCAGCAGTGGATACCGATGTGTGCAATCAAGAAAATTGAAAACAACATTTAATTGCTACAAATTAATTAAATATGTCTAAATAACATACTCATACTTGAAATGTTATACAAAACTCTACTATTGCAAACTTGTGACAATACGCAAATGCAAGCCAATGTACGAACATTAATATGTCCTTATTTTACAAGAAAGTTAGAACAAACTTGCGAAACCAATGCTTTAGGCGCGTTACCTTCGTTGTCTTTCTTTCTCTTCCACTTTCAATCTTTCTCCTTTACTGCTTTTTTAAAATTCAAATTTCTAATGAATTTTACAAATTGTTTTGTCTATGCACATACACATATTCCTATATTTATGCACAGCTATTGTACTTTGGTCTCAACTTAAGCTAATCAAACTTTAACTCTGAAATTTAAGTCAATCATTTGTTATTGTTTTACAACTTCGAGTACTCTGCCTATGTTTACATGCAGTGGTGAAGTTTATTTTATTTAACAATTTACGTTTACATATATATAAATACGTAAGTAAGTTCGTGCATGTGCATGCGTGTGCAAGCATGTATGTGCGTGTGTATGTTTATGTTTGTGTGTGTGTGTGTGTGTGTGTGTGTGTATGTTTGTATATCTATGTATTTTATATTTATATTATTGTAGAATTTTTCCCAAAAAGTCAATATTGTCTCATGTTTTCTTTTCTTTAGGCTTTTTTCTAATTTAGTACAAATTAAAGATAAATATAAACAAATGGTTTTTTTCAGTATATATTTTTTATTATTTTATTATTAACTTACATTGTGTTTCCATATCACTTTATAGGCAGCTGGATTGGCATGAACTTTACACTCGAAATATACATCGTCACCTTCTTCGATGTCCTCTGGATTTAAATTTGAACCCAAATCCAATTGTAATGTAGGAATGACTGCAAATAGTTAAAAAAAAAATTTCGATAATACAATTAACCCCAAATTGACATTAAATCATATAAAATTAATTAAAATGAAATAGAATACTAATGTAAACGTTTTACAACGACAAACACCACTTGGCGGCACGAACATCCCGGTATTATATGTGTAGTGAATTTTAAATTAATAATATGTGTCCAACAATTGAAGTAAGAGAAACACATCTATATATTAAACAGAGATCGAAGCCGGACGTCGTACAAGATTTTTGTAATGAATATAACTGACTTTGTTTGTCAATTATTCAATAATATATGCATTTTAATGCCTCAAAAGCAGCACAACAATTATGATCAGCTGAAGAATATTTTCGCAATGTCATGACTATTTTCAAATTGTAAGGTTGAAACTAGCGTGGAGTCATTTTCAGATAGCTGCTTCTTTTTTTTTTTATTTTGCAATAGGACCAATCACTTAGGAGATGTCCCCTATTCGCATAACACGTTGATTGCCGGAAAGAAGTGAGGAGACGCAAAGAAATAGGGAAATTATGGGCGCAGTCTAGTGGATGATTGCCCCATCGATATGTGTTCTGCCCTTACTGATCGAACACTTATTATATCTATGACTAGAGACAACTCTACCGCACTTGAGACTTGAATTAGCGAACACCGATTTGGTGGTCGCAATTCGTATCTATTTGTCTACTGAGGCGGATCTCTATTAACGTAATATAAGTACTGCTGTTATTTTAGAAGATATTACGCTGCTTGCTCAATCATACTCGTTATGTGTACGGACAAAGGCAACGTTAAAGTTTTCGTGATGCGAATAAAATATTTATACTTCTGCGTTTTAGAGTGCACAAACATAAGTCCGAAGAGAGATGTATTTTATTTCCTTTTCATTTTTTATATCGATTCGCATTAAAGGTTTCTCAATTTTATGTTCGTCATATGCTTTAATAAATTTCGATGAAAAACTTCTGCAAGCCGAGGAAGATGTCCGTCCGCGTCAAAGAAAAGGTATATTATAGAAAGAAAATTAAAATTTGAATAAAAAATCTTGCATAGTAGACTTCCGTTATTAGGGGCGCGAAAATTGCATTCCGCTGCCGTGATAATGGAGATATAATTCTTGGTAGTAGATTTTAAAAGTATTTAAGCAACATTTTAGATTATCTCTGCGGTTCGAAATTTTGTCTCTGTTATTGTAGATTTGGCGTTATTTTTTTAATAAGAGACCGAAATATTGACAGATTCGTGAAGGCCCTAGGGAGGTGGTTATTGAAGCACCAAGTATTGCGCAACGTAAAGCGGCGGTAATTTAATTGGTGATTGGTGATGTAAAAATGCTATTTGGCCGTTACTTTTGCGTATTTTTTTTCATTGTCCCTTTGTTTATTGAATCTTTTTTATTTATGTTTCTTCTCCGTACGTGTTTTGTACATTCGATTCTTTTTTATTTTATTTATGAATACATTTGACTTTTGGTTAGGTTATTACGGTTTTTCATAGCAGGGTTATGTTAGCCAAGAAGTTTACTATTCAGAGTAGTAAATCCACAGGTAATTTAAATTTTTTCACGCTTACTACGGTAGCAGATTTGTTGGTTATTCGGAATTAAGCTCTAGTTTATGGCTTTGCGCACAAATTTCTACACCATCCGCCAAAGCTAATTGTGCTGTCTTTTAACAAAATATATAAAGAAAGAAATGGGCTTCTTGCACAGTTTTTCATCCGATTGGTAACCCATAATAGTATATAACGTCAAAAAGGTTACCCTTTACGAAAAAACGAATAATTTTAAGATCGATATAGAAGAGACGTTGAAAGAATTGTGAACGGCAGTTTATTGGTTTGGTTAATGTAGAAGATCGTTTGCGTCAAAAGAGAAACCTATTTTGTTACAAGAGTGTAAACGAAATAAACAGTCAATTAACCTAAACTAAACATTGCAATAATAACTATCGTCCGCGGTATGTGGTTTTTTAGAAGTGAAATTGACACCACAGTCGCTTTTCAATGTTGAGAGAAAAATGTACTTAACATATATCTTTAATAAGTAAATAATAGTATGTGAGTTGCTTTTTCACTAAGTTTCACAACAAAGCATAATGTAGTAAAAACGAATATACGTTAAATATTAGTAAATTCATTTTTGATATAATGATGAACGTAACAAAAGACCGGCTTCCCGCACATAATGATTGCATCGAATATAAACGTCACTATGTGGACTTTAAGTTCTTGTTGTACAAAAAGTCGAAAGTCTTGGCGCGAAAATATGTTGAGTCAAAGTATACTAATCAAGAAAATCAAAAAGCAAATCAATTTGCCTAAGTTAGAATTAATTTAATATTTTGTGTGTAAGTTTCTTTATTTATTTTCATTGTGAGCACACTATCATTGTAGGCACACCTTAATTATATCGTATACTGCACTATTTAAAGTTTTTACAGATGTACGCCCGTTATATATTGTGAACAGGCAGTCGTGTATGGTAAATTGATGACGCACTCTGGGCATTATAAGTAGCAGTTACTCTTATATATTAATATATATTCTGTGTAAGCTAGAAAAAATATCTGCATAGGCGTATAGAAAGAGCGAACCTAAAATTTAGAAATCTTCATAGCGCCACGTCTTCTTGGCTTTGTATATACGCAACTAAAAAAGAACACGGAAACATTTGATAGATTTGCGACATTATATCAACACATATTTAGCAGCATGTTTTCTGTGACAAGAAACGAGAATGACCGCGCAGGATACTTACGTTAACATGGAAATATCAAAGCCCTCAAAGCAATTACTACTTTTCATTTTGAGCCGTTTTATTATTTTGCTCGCTATTTAGTTCGCTATGTTAAGAGCATAGTTGTTGACTCTTTCTTCTCTTAAAAAAAACAAAGATGATTTTCTACGCAAAGAAGGCTACGACGAAGATTTGTTGTAATATAAAAAATACAACAATAACTGGCAAAAAGGTTTCCCAGTCTCGCTGACTAATGGATTTTAGACCTAGGCGCAAAAAATCGCGGCAAGCAATTACACCATTATAATCTCCTACATCGGCCTAGACGAGCCTCTAAAAGATAACGTTTCATTTTGTTTTAAGTTGTATTCGTTTGTCAGTTTGACGCAATCCCGTGAACGTTAGTCTCCGGCACCGCCTCATTATTTGGAACTTCATTAATTTTACGCCATATTTTGTTAGCTTTTCACGTCAATGTATAGCGCGGAAAAACTTGGAATAAAGTCTTACATCTACAATTCGTTCACATAGTTCCTTTTCTTTTTCGGTATCTTATGGTCTTTCCCAGAAAGGACAAAATTTTCTCAAAAGCTACCATATGTTTATTTCTTGAATCGCATTAAATCGAATCTGATTGTTTTGTTTATTAATTTATTTTTATACCGACCACTGAAGGATGGGGGTATACTCATTTTTTGCTTTTTCATAGAAAGAAGCTTCAGAGCTCCTATAAAGTACATACATGTGCTTGATCAGTGTGCAATTCTAAATTGTTTAGACCATTTCTGATCTGTGTGTCTGTGGAAAGTCTTTGTATATCTAAAAAACGAAGACACCGACTTCAAATTTAGTTGGAAGTTTTTGAACGCGGGTTTGTATTGAAAAAGGTCCAAATTGGTTAGAGCAGAAGCCCGTAGTGGCGCGTAAGCTGAACGCAACAATTTGTGGATTTTGGCTCAAAATTTATAAAAGTTATTCAAAAATTATAAAAGTTAGAAGCCCGGTAGCTTCCAATCGGGAAAAAACTTTTTGAGGTTTTATGCTAGTTTCTCATAAGGCAAACAAGACGGTATGTTTAAAATTGTTTTGTGCATTCCTCAAATGGAGATATATTATATGTCTAAAATTGGGTTAACTCTAGTGAATATGGTAGATTAATTTTGTCTTAATAATACCAGCGATATGGCTATCAAAATAAAGAACTAACAGAGTAAAATGCGGACACCATAGTGTTGGGTGTGCTAGATTCGGCCCCTGCTGAATATAACTTTCTTACTTGTTTTGTCCTTTATTATGTGATTCTCAAATTAAGCTTTAATTTTCACGTTTGGTTTTTCGTTAAAGAGAATTCATTTAAACAGTCATCAGCTGTTCAGATATTATACTATTATATGCGATTTCAATACCGTCAGTCTGTGAGCTTATTCTTAAACCAAACCGAAATTCTTCTTGCTTTGCATTCCTTTCACTATTATTACCTTTTCCTTCCTCGAACTTACTTTGCTGTATTCCCACTGCGAAAAGGGTTAATCTGCGATTATCTGGTATTAGTGTCGCTTTTGTCGTCAACTAGTATTAATGATTTTTTTTTTTTTTTTGGTTTAGCTCCTACTCCTTTTTTCATTTTCTTTGTTTATGTCTTTCTAGACTTTTTCGATTTTTGCGCTCTCTTTGTAACAGTTTTTTGAAATCTTTTGATTTTCTTTAACATCAGCTAGTAACATGGAATGAGAAAAAGAAACTAGTACATAAAAAGAAAACATATTCCCTAAGCTAACTGAGATACTGAAAGTTTCTTATGTACACTAAAGATGGGTTCGTAATCAAAGCAAATAAAGAAAAGTAATTCCGGTTGCTTGTTGATGTCTCCCACATTACGGTCTCTTTTCTTGCATGTGCGCGCGGTTTGTAAAACAATAGTAATTCCAAGTTAAGAGAAAGAAGTAATGGTCCTACCACACAATGAGGTCAAAGCTCTTTACTTAAAATATTAGAACAACAAAAAAAAAGTCGTAAAGACACAACGCGAAATATTAGGAGAAAATTAAAATAGTAATGAATATACACTAGGTAGACGAATAAATTTTGTCAGTTTTTTGATAAAATTCAGCCTTATTTAATATGTTCACGTTACAGAGCATGTATAAAATTGATCTGTATATTCACAATCATTATCTACACTATACTTATAAAAAACTGACATTTATACCGACAGCATTTATTTGTACCAGTGTTACACAAACAGGCTCAAAAAACT